AGCGGAGGTTTGAATTCATTTTGCTTTAAGCATCCTCGCACCCCGCCGGCTTTCTCCCAGGCAGGGAGGAGGGAGTGGCTGAGCTGGCTTTGAGAGCTGAAGAGGGTGCTACTGGGAATTTCCCTGTAGCCTTCTCTTTCATGAAAGGCAAGGAAGACGGCTAACAGCTCTCGGCTGTCGAAGGAGCTCTTTGAAATCCATGTGAACGCAGCGCTTGTCTCCTTCGAGAGGCTGTCAGCGACTCCGCTGGGCCCAAGGGTGAGCCAGGCAGGGATGTGAGAGAGATGAGCTTGTCCAAACACTTGTCTCAACATCTGACAAGGCAGCGCTTGGAAGGGGGGAGAGCGTCAGGCTGGCGCCTCGGAGGGGTGGCGGGCAGGTGCCCGTGGCCCTGCGTGTGTCCTGTCAACGTGCCTGAGGGTAGGATAAATGTTACGTGGGGGAGACAGCTTCAGTTTGTTACTTGTGGATTCTTTTTCCTCCCACAAAACAGTGGGTTGTGTCTTTCCTCCCTTTCTGTCACCGTATTGAAAAGCGTTGGAAAGTGGAGCAGGATGTCGGGTTTGTGAATGCGGCTGGGAAGTGGCTCTGCATGGGTTGTGTTTTCCTTGTCTTCAAATCTGTTCGAGGGTTAAAAGCTCCTGATTGCAGCCCTTCGCTGTTCCTCTTACCCTTCTCTGTGGGAAAGGGACGGGACAATATCCATGTCTTGTTCATGTAGTACTGATGGTTGTCGCTTCCTACTTCCTTCTCCTCCCTTTGAGCAAATACTGTGTCGGGTTTGTAAGTTCCTACGTGGATTGTGAAACTCCAAGACCTAAACCAGTGCTGACACAGTACCAGCCCTGTTAAAACGCTCACAGAATGCTTGAAACCGCTGCTCGAGGGTTTCCTTGAGTCGTCCGTCTGTAGAAGACGCCTGGCAGGGGTGTCCTGGACGCCAACGGCCCGGCCGTGGGCCCTCTGCGTTACGTGAGAGCGCGTTGGCAGAGTGTCACAGGGACTAGCGGCTTGTTGGCCGCTGTTTCCCGCTTCCCTTAAACAAACGCCGGGGTTCAGACTCCAGCAGCGGCAGTTTTAGGGATCACAAGCCAAAAGGAAGCGCACACGTGCGCGTGATGACGGCGTAGATGTGCGCTGTCGGGTCTCGTCGGGCTGGGGCTTAGCTAAATGATTCCTCTGGTTTGGCAGCGTGTTTCGGAAAGCTTTTGTGAATTTGCAGAATTCTAAGTGAGATAAATCAGAGAAACTGTCCTGGAACTGTTTGCAAATATCAAGTCCAGGGATAATCATCCAAGAGGTACCTTCTCGGAGGGGGTTTGTGCGTGACCAGGACTGGAAGTGCTGTTAGAGTGGCTGCAAGGAAGGGTCGAGTTCATTTGTTCTGGCAGCCAAGTGCTTTATTCTAAACCTGATCGCAGGAACAGATTTCCAAGGCAGATCCCCCGGACGCTGGGAGAGTTGCTGCTGCCTGCAGGACGGGTGTGCCGAGGGATGTGGCGATGGGGACGGCGGCCGCTGCTCCGGCGGGGAGTCGTGTCGCCGTGCTGACGCTCTGTGCCTGGGCTCTGCTGTGGTTTCCCCGGGCCGCTTCCCCTGGTGCGAGAGAGGGACCTGCGCGTGACTCCTGTCGAGGTCCTGCAGGGACAGAGTGACACTTGATGCTGGGAGAGGACTTTTTACAAGGGCCTGTAGTGACAGGACAAGGGGTAATGGGTACAAATTGAAATCAGGGAGGTTTAGATGAGATATCAGGAAGAAATTCTTCCCAGAGAGGGTGGTGAGGCACTGGAACAGGTTGCCCAGAGAAGCTGTGGATGCCCCATCCCTGGATGTCTTCAAGGCCAGGCTGGATGTGGCTTTGAGCACCCTGGTCTAGTGGAAGGTGTCCCTGCCCATGGCAGGGGGGGTGGAACTAGATGATCTTTAAGGTCCCTTCCAACCCAAACCATTCTGTGATTCTATGATTGAAGCGGGTTTTTAACATCTTTCTTGTGGGGGAGGGCGGTTTGCTTTCCTCTGGCTGGCTTGGTGCATCGCTTCAGCCCGAGTCCTGCTTCTCCCCAGGCGCCGAGACGCGGGGACGGGGCAGGAGGGGCTGGCTGTGCCTCTGCAGCTACCCCTCTCGTTTGGGTCACATTCCCCTAAGAAAGGGTCTCTTGCAGTGAGCCTCCGCACGTGCACACGCGGTGAAGTACTGAGGCTCCATCTGTCTGCGTGCAGCTGGGTTTTCCTTGAGCTGGAGTTGTGCATGTTCACTGTGCTGCCTGTTGCTTCCTTGTACAACTTCCTGGCACCTCAGATACAGATCTGCCTGGTTTTGTGTGCCTGTGCTTCCAAACGTAAATAATTGGGAAGTGATGCGAAGGCGGGAGCTGCCGTCTGCCTGTGCCTCGCCGGGGCTCTGCGACGACCAACGCAGAGCTCCCTCCTGCACCTCCTGGCCTTGCGTAGGAGAGGCCTTACCTCGCAGGCATCTCCCAGACGACTGCCTGGCCAAGGCCAGGGGTTGTGCAGATGTTTCGGCACCTGCCCATGTTGTCATTGCTGAGCCGCTGCCTTCAGCTGGGGAAGGTGAAGCGCATCTGGCAGTACAAAAGCAAAGATCCTGTGAAGCACATCTGGCAGTACAAAAGCCAAGATTCTGGGAGTTCTGCGTCCAGCTCTGGGCCCCCAGTGTCGGAAGGGTATTGATCAATTGGAGCGAGTCCAGAGGGGGACACGGAGATGCTCCAAGGGCTGGAGCCCCTCTGCCCTGGGGACAGGCTGGGGGAGTTGGGGGGTTCAGCCTGGAGAAGGGAAGGCTCCGGGGAGACCTCAGAGCCCCTTCCAGTGCCTGGGGGGGCTACAAGGAAGCTGGGGGGGCTTTTCCCAAGGGCAGGGAGTGACAGGACAAGGGGGAACGGGTTTAAACGGAAAGAGGGAGATGGAGAGGGGACATCAGGAAGGAATTCTTCCCGCAGAGGGTGGGAGCACTGGGACAGGTTCCCAGAGAAGCTGTGGATGCCCCAGCCCTGGGAGTGTCCAAGGCCAGGCTGGATGAGGCTTGGAGCACCCTGGGCTATGGAAGGGGTCCCTGCCCATGGCAGGGTGTGGGACTGGGGGGGGCTTTAAGGTCCCTCTAACCCAAACTATTCCCTGATTCTGTGATCCTGGTGAGAAAGGCCCCTGGTGTCAGCCTGCACGTGCGTTGCTGGGTTGGGAACCTGCAGTGGGCACTTCCCTCAGACTTTGCTTCCGAAGCCCCCCCACCTGTTGCGTAGCAGCATTCCCATTCCTTGCGACCGAATGTGTCCTGGCAAGGCTTTCCATAGTCTCCCTCCTGTCTTTTCTGTTGCCTGGTGCTGCCTGAGTCACGGTCATCTGTACGCGAAGAGCCCGATTGCTGCCGAAGGTGTCGTCGAACATTCCATCTTCTGCCTGACTGCCTGTCGCCCCGCACCTTCCCCCGTCCTGGCCTTGTCGAGGCACGGGTGGCACCGGTGTGCCCTGGTTTTCACGACGCGGTGCCGTGCTGCGCGCGCCTGGCACGTCGGTGACAAACGAAGTGAGACAATTGCGACGGGTCGCTGGCCGCTGCGGAGCGCGACGTAGGATAAGAGAGCCGTTTCTTTCCTGTGCTTCACCTCTTCCTCCTCCGTCGGGGAGTCGCAGCGCGCTCGTACGAGATCAGAGAAGGCAAAAGGTGGTGAAGTGCAGAAAGCAAGGCCCACGTTGCTTGAAGCAGTGCTGGAGCAGTTTTAGAGTGCTTCCCAGCTGCTGCCCACATCAGCCTTTCTGCCTGCTCCAGCTGCGTTCGGTACCGGAGGGGGAGGCAGAAGAGGGGGTCGGGAGGGAGCGGTGATGCGGCCGTCCCGGTGGGTGCAGCGAGCGGGTGGTAGTTTGGTGTCAGACCTTGCCCAGCGCAAACCACTGCGCTGCAGGTAGCCGCATGTGAGCAGCAGCCCGGAACGGCTCGAGGGTAAATCCTGATGGAAATGCAGTGCCACAGCCCTCCTCTCCAGCAGTCCATGGAATCTTCAGGGGATGTTGGACGGCTGGGAGTAGAAAAGCGGGGTGAAGGCTAGATGAGGCGTGTTAGGGATAAGTGTGTTTTCATTGTGGTTGAGCAAAACTGGTGTTTTCCTGCCGGCAGGTGAAGCCACAGACACACACACACGGTGAAAAGCGACTGGATGAGTCACAAAACCAAGTCAAGAACAGCTTTTCCAAATCTAAGTTGTGTCTAACTGCCTGCCTGATGTCAGGGCCGAACGCTGGCGGGGTTGTTGCCCGTCTCCCATGTTGTTCCCCTGTTTCTGTTGTATTCATGTTTCTCCTCCTTGCAGGGAAGGCTACGATACGCGCTGGTCATGCTGCTGTTGCTGCCTGGTACAGCCTCCTTCTACGTGCCTGGAGTGGCTCCGATCAACTTCCACCGCAATGATCCTGTGGAAATAAAGGTCAGCTGGACTTGGAGCCGTTGCGCTGTTTGTTGAGGGTTTTCTTGTGGCTTGGTTGTTCATATCATAGCAGCTCAGTGGGACTAGAAAGTCAAATTTGGGGATTTTGTTACTAAAATGTGGGGTGTTTGCTCTTTTTCACCACGTCCGTGTTGGGGATGTGGCATCTTACCCTCCAGTTCCCACCGTGATTCCTCTTTCCTGCTTCCGGCATCTTCTACCAAATTCCTCCAGTGGTTGCACCGAAGTCCTCGGGATGTTGCTGTGCCGGGGAAAAGAGCCTCTCCCTCAGGGTGGCTTTGCAGTGAATTTAACCAGAGCTTTCTCTCCAGCATCACGCTGGCGTGATAGGCCGTTCCAAGGCCCCGAGCGACGCGGGCTTGCTGAGGGCCAGGCGGCGTTGCTGGTAGCGAACGATGGAGCTGCTTCACCCGGACGGGAGGAAGCCGGGCTTTGTTTCCAGACATCAGCAATTCAGAGCCCATTTCATTTATTTTTCTAAAGCTGCGGCCTCTGTCTCAGCAAAACCCAGCGCCCCTGGGGATGCTGGGGCTGCTCCCGCGTGAAGCGCAGCGGGGTTTGCTCCTGGCCACAGCCTGCCAGGCGCAGGCTATTTTAAGCGAATGAGACTTGCCTGTGGGCTACAGTAAGCTTCCCAGGAGAAGGGGGGGATTGGAATGGCTGTTCTCAAAGGGATTTCATGAGCCAAATGCTTCTTCAAGTGAGAAGGCAAGTCAGCGTGTTTGCCAGCTCGTCCAGTAAACGAGCTTGGCTGTGTTACAAGACACTCCTGGTTTTCAGAGCAACTGTGGCCTTGGCTGTCGTGGGATGTCTCTGCACTTGTGATTTGTGGGAACTCCCCAGGAATGTTTGCGGCTTGTCGCCATCCCTTGGCTTCCCAATCTGATGCCTTTCAGACAAAAATTGCTGAACTCTTCCCCTTGCCAGAAGCCAGACCTCTAGGCCTAGCGGGACGTGGATTTTTTTGAGGATATAACTGCAGTCTTGTATGAAATGTGACTCTTTAATCTCTTTTGAGCTCTTTGTTGTTTCTTAGGTCTCCACTGAGTCATAAATTTGTGAAACCAATCCACCACGCTTCTCTCTTCAAGCGTTTCTCTGTGAATGAATTGCTGCTAAATCACAGTGTAGAGAGCGTACAAGTAGGAATTGTGCAGAAGGGAAGAAAGCTCTCCCAGGAATATGTCTCTTATTAAATAGCTTTATGAGGGGTGCCTTGCAGTAAGCTTCAGCTTCTGGCTGATCCTGTGAGGATGGGAAGCTGTCTGGGTTCTTTCATGGGGATAATCCTGCTCTTCTCCCTCCAGGCCGTGAAGCTCACCAGCTCGCGGACCCAGCTGCCGTACGAGTACTACTCGCTGCCCTTCTGCCAGCCCACCAAGATAACGTACAAGGCCGAGAATCTGGGTATGTACCCGCTGAGCAGCGCCTTCCCGGGCTGCCGCGGGAGCTGCCTGAGGGGGTGTTCGCAGGGTCAAGGCGGTTGCAGAAGTCGCCTCCTAAAGTGGTTGCGGAGAGCCCGCTTCCTCGACCTGGCTGTTGGTAAACCAGGATGTCTGTGTGTTGGGAGGAGGAAACACTTTGCCTGCAACCTGCTTCATGAAGAGTGCTCCGTGCTTCCCAAATAGCTAAATGGTCCTTCAGTCTTACCCTTGCATCCGTGGAGACTCGCTGTCGTCATTCCAGCCGTGCCACGCGCTGCCGTGGCAGCGTCACCGTCCGTCTTCAACCCTGCCCTCTGCTTTCCTGTTTTCCAGGTGAGGTTCTTCGGGGGGACCGAATTGTAAATACGCCTTTCCAGGTTTCCATGAACGTGGAGAAGAAATGTGAAGTGCTGTGCAACGTTCCCAACAAGCCCGTTACTCTGACGGTGGAGCAGAGCAAGCTGATCGCTGAGCGCATCAGGGAAGATTACTACGTCCATCTGTGAGTCCTCTGGAGCCGGGGTTTGTGTCCGGGCGGGTTCTCCGCTGCGGCCAAGCTTGACCCGAAACGTGTTTTTCCAGCATTGCGGATAATCTCCCTGTGGCAACGCGGCTGGAGTTTTATTCTAACCGTGAGGAAGAGGAGAAGAAGAAGGAGAAGGATGTGCAGTTCGAGCATGGATACAGGCTTGGGTTCATGGATGCTAACAAGGTAGGGGATGCAGATGGTGTCGGAGGGGTGCCTGGAGGAGATCGGGCTGTTGGAACGCTACCGGAGCATTGGAATCGGGAATGCAGCCAGGAGGTGTTATAAGGAGTGGGAATACAAGGGAGGGGTCTCTCACTGGAGGCAGGGGGTGGGTGCTGGGTGCTGGTACGATAGGCAGGAGCCCGAGCTTGTCTGTAACGTTGGACACACTCGGACGGTGTTTCCCTCGGCGGAACGAATGCACGTGTGAGCCGTGAGGTACCGCTCTATTTTCCGGGCCAGAAACAGACGGCCACGTTGGCCCTGACGCTCAGTGGTTGAGGCGTTACCTTCTCAACATCTCTGTTCCCTCCTTTGGTTCTTTCAGCCTCGGAAAGTGTTCATCTGCTCGTGCTCCGTGGCACAGAGCATCTGGGAGCAGCTGGAGTCTCTAGTTTTCTGCCCCGAAGCTGCTTTCTGCGGTTGTTGCTTCTGAACGCCCCCTGTGCCTCCCGGGGGGTGCTCACTTTGTGTCTGATGTCAATCTGTTTCAGTTCTACCTGCACAACCACCTCTCCTTCATCCTCTACTACCACAGAGAGGACGTGGAAGAGAACCAGGAGCCCACCTACAGGGTTGTGCGCTTTGAAGTGATTCCCCAGAGTATTAAACTGGAAGGTGAGAGGCTCCTGGGGGGGGAGTGAAGGGGGCCAAGAGCTGGACCCCACCAATGTATCGGGGTGCCGGTCGGTGCTTCCGATGTGGTGTCAGGGCGCAGAAATGAGGGAGTCTGAATCACAGAAACAACCAACCCCTGTGTTAAGGAAGTACCAAAAACGGAAAATGCAACTCATGGAAGATTAATTTATATGGAGAGATTGGAGTTTGGGGCTTTTGCACTGTGTCCTCTAGCTCTCACCCTGGCCCAGCTCTCTCCCACTGGGACGTTACCCGCTCGCCCAGAGACCCACAGGCTGTTCGCAGCTGTTGTGGGGGGATTGAACGTTAAAAGTCATGGTTGGGCCAAGCTCAGACGGGTGTCCTGGAGGGAAGTTGCTCTTCGTGTGCATCATGCCCTGCAGCTCTCCGGCAGCAGCAGGCTCTGCCGGGAGAGCTCTTGTGTCTCAGCGTGTCCTACGGAATAGAGGGTTTGTTCGTGGGTTCAGAGCCTCTGGCTTTTATCCTTCCAGTTAAGGAAAGCCCCACTCATAGCTTTCCTTAAGATGCTCCACTTCTTATGGGAAGAATAGTTTCCCAAACTGCGAAGCTGTTGAGGAGGGGATAAGCTTCCCCAGCTTGGGTACCTGGGGCCGGGATGGTGGGCGGGAGAGGTGGTGCTTGGAGGGAAGGGCTGACCTGGCCCGTGCTGTGTTTTCCCTCACAGACCTGAAGGCTGATGAGAAGAGCATGTGCACCCTGCCTGAAGCTACGGGCTCTGCCCCTCAGGAGATAGATCCTTCCAGAGAGAACCAGTTGCTCTTCACCTACTCCGTTCACTGGGAGGTGAGGGAGTAACGGGAGGCTGACCAGCAGCCCGCTACCCTGGCTCCCGGTGTCTGCCGCTGCGGAAGACACTGGGAACGTGCTGGAATGAATACAACCTTCCTGTTCTTCCAGGAAAGCGACATTAAATGGGCTTCCCGCTGGGACACCTACCTGACCATGAGTGACGTGCAGATCCACTGGTTTTCCATCATTAACTCGGTGGTGGTCGTCTTTTTCCTCTCGGGCGAGTGTG